TAGTCCAGGCTGGCCTTAAACTCTTGTAGGCCCTCTTATCTCAGCCTTCCCAGTGCTGGGATTACAGGCATGCACCACCACACCTGGCTTTGTCAGCCTCTGTGTGTGTGTGTGTGTGTGTGTGTGTGTGTGTGTGTTACTGGGGATCGTACTTGGGACCTTTTGAGGATGTGGACAGGATGTTTGGGTTTGAGACAGGGTCTCACTGAATAGTGCAGGCAGGCCTTGAACTGATTGTTTTCTTGCCTCAACCTCTGCAGTGCTGGGATTATGGGCATGTACCACCATGCCTGCCTTTGGTTTTTACTCAGTTTATAAGATTATTTCATATATGACCTTTTGTAGGCATTTGAACAAGTTACAAAAAACAAAAAGAAAACCACATGTAATACTTTCTAGAGGGTAATTATTAGCCATAAAATCTTTTCAAGTTTGGACCTGGGCATGATGGCGCAAGCCTGTAGACCCTGCTTTCCAGAGGCTGAGACAGGAGGATCATTGAGTTGCCTGGGCTCTGTAGCGAGACTCTGTCTCCAAAAAAGAAAACAAAAAAATTTTTAAAACTTGTTCTATGATTATATAGTTTATTTTTTACTTTGTGTGTGTGTGTGTGTGTGTGTGTGTGTGTGTGTTTGTGTGGTACCGGGGATTGAACTCAGGACCTTGTGCTTGCCAGGCAGGCGCTTATGCCACTGAGCTATATCCCAGGCCCATGCATAGTTTTAAATTACTGAGTCTAGTATCTTAATGTTGAGAACAATATTCCATATGAACAGATTATTATCTAATGCTTATCACAAATTTAACTGTACCTTTCGTGGTGTTTTAGGTTATTTTCAGATTTTTTGCTTTTATGAATTCTGAGATAAATGTCAGCTTTTTACTTTGTCTTGTTTTGTGTGGTGCTGAGGCTTGGACCTAGAGCACCCCACACGTTAGGCGACCACTGTGCCACTGGGCTACATTCCCAGCTTTTTCTTTTTTTTTTAATTTAAATCCTTTTATTTGTGTTTTGAGACAGGGTCTCTGTATTTAGCTCAGCTGGCTTCAAATTTAAGATTCTTGTCCTCTAACCTCACCAAGGTTTAGAGAGAGCTGTGACCACATCTGACTTATTTTATATTTTGAGATGGGGGTGCTTAATTGCCCTGCATGAGTAGATTAGAAGATGAGACAAGATAAAAACTAAGGAAAGGGATGGGGGGCAGATAGATAGCTCAGTGGCATAAGCACCTGCCTGGCAAGC